GTGATTTTCCCTCTTGGACACAAGAGGCCAGCAGCACAGCAGTACGGTATGGAACCTGTACAGCACCATTCACAAGATGTAAATGACTGTAGAGTCTTCTTTCGGAGGAACAACAACCGGCGAGCCAAAACATAACCTAGAACAAAATTTAACTTGAAACCTACCCAGACGCGTTTGAAACTGTTGATTAAAAAAAAAACGATTACTCAATGTCATCACTGTCTCTCAACCTTTTTTGCAGCAGAGACCAGCTACCTCTTCCTTCTTTTTAAGATAGTTTTGACTAAAATCACAATAATGTTAAATAAAAACAGTGAATTACTCCCTTATCAGTCCCTGCCTTAGAGCAGTCGGTATTTCTCTGGTCCGTGGCAGCAGGAATTGAGTCACGGATCTATATCACGAAGAAAAAAACTGCTGAATTTTTTAGCAAAAAGCAGATCAAACTAACCACGCTAAAAGTGTGTGTGAAGCGTACGCCAGCAGTATGAACTTCGTTTGAAAGCCGCCCTGACCACCACTGCTCCCGTCCTGCTCCTCGGCCGCAGCGCCCTGTGAAGGCGCCACACTACACACTGTTTTGGGGGACATCCTACCAGACGGGAACTGACACTTTTTCCTGAGCCGGGAAAGTGTTCAGAGACTAAAGGGCCGAGCGTGTGCTAGCAGAGGACAGGCCCTTCCGCGTGCACTCTGTACGTGTGCGTCTGCATCTTCACGGGTCCACGGGCGGCGTGGGGTCAGCGCGTGTTTGTGCGTGTTGTCCGCCGAGAGCCCGGGGGGCGTGCGTGCCTTCTCTTCCGTGTGTCCCCGTATCTGTAGGAGCGCGTCTGTCTTTCTAAACGTCGTTTTTTCTCTCTTTTTTTTTGGACATTGATCTTTGAAGCCGCTCAACGGTGAGGTGGGGAGCGAACGTGGTTTCCTAGAGGCGCGTGGGAGGAGGCGCCCGTGTTTTTCGGAACGGGCTCGCTTGCCCGGGGTGGCTCTGTTTCTGGGGGGGGGGGCTGTCTGGAAACTTGCATTGAGAACATCCTGCACGTGTTTAAGGCAGGGAGGGGGTCTTTTGAATAGGGCGCGTACACTGTACGTTGGTATAAATTGGGGGGCGAATTAAGGAATGAAGTTTCTGAAACTCGAAGAGCTCCCCCGGATATTGGCGTGTGGCCAGCGTCGCGTCGTTGCGTTTATAGCCGTGTGGGGTATCTCTGCTCTCGGATGTGTTTTAGAACTGCGCCCGGTGTAGCACAGCACTGCTAACCAAGCAGCTTTGATAGAATCTAGTAAAGCCGTTTACGTGCAGTTGCCATCAATCTCTGGGCTGTTTAACAATGCTGAATCCTGAGAACCCAAGACACGTGTAGTTCGGAAAGCCCCGTGTTTCGCAGCTCTATAATGCGTGTAAAAACATGTGTAGCCGGAGACCCCTGATTTAGTTGACTGTATTTATTTTCTACGTCGTTTCCTTGTCGTTTTTTCACACCTTTACCTCGGCTGTTACTGTGATTCAATATTTATCACTGCGGACGGTCTGCTGCACCGTCTGCTGGTGCCGTCTTCCTAATGTTATCGAGGAGACGAGGATGCTTCCCGCATTGAAGCAAGCGTGTCAGTTGACATGAATGTAATAGATTATTAATCTCCTAATAGACTGGACTGTGCAGAGCGGCTGCTGCCCAGCGGACCCCAGGTGCTCTTGATGAAAGACGAAAGTAGAAAGATTCGGTCTGAAATGTGAGTGTTTGTTTGTTTGGTCTGGAGTTTTAGTTAATCTGGTCTTATTGCGTTTCAGTTTTTTCACTTCACTACATTTGGCTGTTTCTTTTCATTTTTGCGATCCCGATATGTGAACGAGAGGGCTTGGGGATGAATGCGAATCAAACTTCGGCCCTTTTCTCTGCTAGTTCAAAAATCCTCTCCCGAGTCTGCTGCCGTTATGTGAATATAACCAAGACGGAGCAGGGGATTCACCCAATTTAAAACGCCTGTTGCTTTCAAAAACGGGCTCAGACAGTCTAGAAACAGGCCTGTCGCTTTCCTACTTTCCTCTGCGCTGTGGGCTGTTTCGGAGTTGCCCGTCTTTCGCCTCAGACGAGCGTCACGCTGGTCGTTCCCGCAGGCGGCCGCTAGGGGGAGCCGTCGGCTCGGCTCTGTGCGCCTTGCGCTTCGCTCTCCGCACGCCGGCGCTTGGTCGTGAGCAGCAAGGCTGGGTAAGAGGCGGCTGCTATTCGTGCCCCGAGCCGGTGTTACAGCAGAAAGTGGAGACAGTCTTGGACACGATGGTAAGCACGTCTGCCATATCATCGCCCTGAGACATGGTTGGCAAGGTGCCCACAGTGAGCTGTTGTTAAATGCATCTTCCTATCCGTGCCGTGCTGAACGTGTTAAGAGTGTGTGAGTGCACCGTATACCACACCAGTGCCAGGCCCGGCTACAGTTTCCTGACAAGGAAGTGAAGGGATGTGGGGTTTGAAGCTGACAGGAAACGGGACTGAAAGCTGCTTTATGGACTGAAAGAATCGATTCTCTTTATTTACAAACACAGAAAAAAACCCGAACTGGACCACTTGGAGATTTGAAGAGTTCCCATAGGGCCTTAAAGGGCTGGATCTCGGGGACGTGCAGAAATCGTGCACAGGGATGGAGAGACACCTGCAGACCTCAATGGCTGTAGTCAGTTTCAGCCCCTTTGCTCTCCTGTGCTGTAGGGATTATAGTCCCCTAGAAATGCAACTAACATTCAAGCCCCCGATCCCACAGAAAAACCCCATTCCCAGAGCAGGGAGGACTCGTGCCGGACCAGGAAGCTGTTTTCTCAGAGAGACGACGTGGAACGTTTGCCGTCCGGGTGAAAGAGGGGGGGGATCGGGGAGAAGCCGTTAAACCAGCAGATAAAAGCCGGGAGCCGTCCGGCGCGGGTGGCTGGCGGGGGCCGAGCTCGGGAGACGTGGGGATGAGCTGCTCCCTCGGACCGGCCTCCTCCTCCTCCTCCCGCTCCGTGACCTTTCCCTGGGGCTCCCCCCCGGCCGCGCTGCCCTTTTCCCGGCTGGCTCGGGGAGATGCGATGTGACACGGCGGAGAGGGGGAGCGCGGGGGGCCGCCGGCGTGGCGTGGGGCCGGGCTGGTGGGCTGTAGGCCGGGCTGCACAGAGCAGCACACACACACACACACACACACGCACAAGAGCACCACACCTGCTGAGCACAGACACACATCAACACATGGCCTCGAACACAAACACTTCCCCTTTTTGTGCCAAAGGCCAGGGTGGCACTCAGCTCTGCTGGCTCCACGCGGGCGCAGACAGGCGCCAACAGAGCTCGTACCTATACCGTTCCGCAAAGAGCCTGGTCTCGAAGTTCTCCTTTTCTCATCGCAGGGCCGGCTGCTGTCT